CAGGTTGGGGCCGGGGTCCACTAGGACCTCAGGAGAGGGCGGGCAGAGCCTACGCAGAGGCCACGGCACAGACTGAATGACACAAAGGGCACGACTGCGGTAGGCACCTGGTGATCGGGTCACTGGGACCTCATTCGCCAAATGGTTCATTGCGCCCCAGTGTGACAGGCACACCGGCAAAAGCAGAGAAGGCAGGTGGAACTGAGGGTGTCACGTCAGAGTCACACAGATCTGGGCCAGCACCATGCGAATGCGCGTTCCCCACAAAAGATGGTGAAAAGGCCGTGGAAGGGCGTGGACGGGTGACGCTGTCCCACAGTGAGGAAGCTGAGGCCCCCAGGGCTGGACAAACCAGAGGGTGTTCTTGTTCATGGCTGTTAAGTTTCAAGAACATAAAAGGTTAATTACATCAGGGGAAGCCCATTGTGAGAGGACAAACATGTCCTCGATTGGGGTTGTGGTGGCTGGAGGTTTGGAGACGGGCTGCACCGATCAAGTTCATTGTGAGACCCACTGAAGCAAAGATGCAGTCATCTCACTTTGGAGTGAGGCTGGGGGACACAGGGACCCCGAAAAGGCTACGAGGATTTTGCAAACAGGTGCCCTGAAGGGGAGCAAGTTTAGATCTCACTGACCTTTACACCTTCATGTGAAAAAGTCCAGCGAGGCCACTTCCTCCGAGGACATCTTTCCTGCAGATACTACATGTGGGTGACATCCCAAGGTGTTGTAAATGAGCCTGCGCCTGTTTATGTGACCACCGTGTCACATGGTCACCACTATCAGGGTGCTCCGAGCACCGTCCCCCAAGGCCAGGACTTTGTCACAGGCCATAGAACAGTAGGAAGTGATGGCACTATTGATTAGTGATACTGACGCAGCGCAGCCGGAGGACAAAGGGCTCCCCAAGGTGGGAGGACCATGAGGTGCTGCCAACCCTGGGGCCCCGCACGGCACCGGGTCTCGAGAAAAGCTCCACCGAGATGCACGCTTCCGGAGGCAAAAGCAGAGCCGACACGCCCTCATGGGGGCAGCTTTTGTGCCCCCAGGAACCACTGTTTGCCCCAAATACAGGAGGCTAGGGGGCGAGGGCAGGCCCTGCTGAGTGGCCTAGCTGGGAGCTGCCCCCCAGCTCCCACCGCAGGGGCCCCCACGGAGCAGCACCTGCAGGGGATCAGAGTCACGTTTCTGCACACCGCACAGCTTTCTACAAGAGGGACCGGTCTTGCCACTTACAAGTTATTAGTATTTTATCCCTCTGAGACTTGGTTTCCTCATCGTAAGATGATAGTCAAAGACGGAACCAGATTCCTGCAAGGAGGGTGCATTGAGGGCTTTTTCCTCAGGCCCGTAAAACACGGAAGGGGGAAGCTCTCATTTAATTTCTTCAGCTTTAGCTTTCGGCCACGCAACAGGAAGAAGGGGTCTCTTACCCCACACACCTTCACCAGGACACGCACATGGCCCCACCACACACGTGCAGGCCCCCACCACGCACACATGCACAGGCGTGGGCTACCCGAGCGGCTCTCACGGCAGGAGGGTGTACGCAGGGCCAGGCTGTGCAAGGAGCCCAGACCCTCCCCTGCTCCCCTTGATGCGGGCTTTGGGTGCCGGCTCAGGGGGCACATTATGAAGCAGGGGAACCTTCTTCCAGGGGTGAGGGTCTTGTTTAACGTCCCAGAATCAGGCACTGGGGCCTGGCAGCGTGGATTGAGGCCGGTCCTGCGGGCTCCTGCAGGCAGCTGAGCTGGTACGATGGCTCCACGCAGCTCGAGGGCTGCTGCCCTCAGCGCCTCTTCCCCTGATGGTGGCCGCCACACGCGTGGGTCAGGCCAGCCGGCCTTCCTGGGAGCAGGCGTGACTGCCACATCGGGTCTACCTGACAGATTCTGCTGGGTTCTGTGCCGGCCACAGGCCACGAGCACGGGTCAGGCTTACAGACGACACAGGACATACTTAGTGACATGCCAGCACTGGCTCAGGCAGCCACTCTGCTCTCGGGCAGACTTTCTCACTCCCACTCAGCTCATCGACACCGAAACTGATCTTCAGATCGTGAGACCAGCATTAGAGAAGAAAAGCCCAGTGGGGGTGCCCTCACATGGGCAAGCCGGCGGGGGTCCTGGGGGAGGCGGAGTGCAGAGAACACCCCCCTTGATCTCCCTACCCCTGTGCCAGGTGGAGGACAACACAGGGGGGCCTAGAGCACCGGCTGGGGGTGGGGGGCCTTCCTGACGCCAAGCTGGTGGTTAGGAGGTTGGAGTGGCTTCTCTGGTCTGGAGAAAGCTTGTCCTGTCCCCGGGAGGCCGGCCATGTGTGCCCGTCCTCCACCTGCCAGTGCCTCCCGTGGGGGCACCCCGGTAAGCCAGAGGCAGTGCTGGGCCAGGACACACTCCTCCTCTCGGGCCCCAAGGCCCCGAAACGCAGGGCATGGGGTAAGGCTCAGCTGACCCGGGGCTGAGGGCGCCTCAGCCGTCAGAACGGTCTCAGCATTACTGAGTTAATGAGTAAAGGATTTTGACAAACCTGGGCCTTCTCAGAAACTTAACACTGCTTTCCTTTTCCAGTTTCTCTCCAGAGGTACGCTGTGGGGGGGTGGGGGGGTGTATAGCGAGGGGGCAGTGCTTGGACCTGCCAACACCTGCACGTGGTGACAGTGTCCAGAGGCCCCATCGCAATGCTGACCCCTGGGCCTGCTCTGTTCACTAGTGACATTTTTGAACGGCAGTCACAGTGCCCCCCCCACCCCCCATCCTCACCACACTGCACTGGAGATCACCAGCCAAACCCAGCACTGCTGTACCAGGCAGGAGAAAAGGTAAACCAGCAGCGAGGTGTGAGGCCAGCACCTGCCGCAGGGCAGTCCACTCCTCAGCTGCCTGGCCAGCTCCATGAAGTAACTCCTGCAGCTGGGGGCTCAGTGTGCAGAAGCCAGCACCCACCAGGATGAGGCCACAAAACCGTTCTCACCCCAAGGACAGGCGAGGACCAGGCGGCTGCAGGTGGCAGGTGTGAGAGTGGCGGGACTTCTGCGTCCCCTCCTTACCCGGCATCAAAGGACACTGGCCCCTGCTTTTGCTGGGTGCGTGGGAGCCACCTTGGATGTGGGTGTCTGTCGCTACTGTGTGACTGTCTTGGCATTTTCGTGTTTTATTCGACTGTTGTTTGTTGATCTCTTGTTATGTGCTGGGCACTCACTGTGCAGGGTAATGACGACGTTCACAGAAACTCCACCAGGCACCTTTCACTTTCCATGCATTCGCTCGCCTGCTTGAGTCCACCCTCACAGCCACACCCGAGAGATGTGGCTGCTGGCCACGTCTCCGCGGTGGAGGCCGAGGCCCAGAGGGGACAGCAGCCTGCCCTCAGACAAGGCCATGAGTCCTCTCAGAGGCAGCAACAGACCAGGCCGGACCCAGGGCGTGCGAGGCCGTGGAGAGCCCTCGTGTTCCATGAAGCTATCGTCTGGGTGGTGCTTGCAGGGGATGGTGACCAGTTCTTGGCTGAAGGAGCAGGATAAAGGTTTTGCTGCTCAGGATACGGAAGGGGCGGCAGTCCCACTTGTGGTCTTGCTTCTTGGATGTGCACTCTCTGGCATACTGTCCTCAGTCACTGGCTACTGCTGTCACCACACAAGGGTGACACCAGCTGCCTTCGGGGAGCCTGGTGTCCGGGTTGGCCTTTGGGAAGGAACAGGGGGCTGAGGCCCGTAGGCCGCACGGCTGTCAGGCACGCTGTTCCCAGGTCTGCTCCGGGGCCCTGTCCTGGGGTGCCTAGTGGCTTCTCACGCTGGAAAGGCCTCTGTGACCCTGTGACACACTCTCAGTGGGCCAAGCCTCCAAGGGGCAGCGAAGGAGTGGCTTCAGCCCTTTCCCCACCCCACGCCCTGCCCCAGCCCACTCCCCTGGGAGCCCAGCTTTTCCCATTGGGGTCACGGTTCAACAGCCACCATGCCAACACCCTGTCAGATATGTGTGGGGGTGACAGTAACTCAATAGGTAAGTGGATATCACCTGGCGCCTGCCATGTCTGTCCTTGCACATATATCACCCCTCTTTGCTGACCCCGCGGAGAGGTAAATGAGGGGTTGAGTGACAGAGCCAGGATTCAAACCCAGGCCCAGCTCCCATGGCCACACGGGGAGAAGGTCTTCGTGCCACAGGCTAAAGCCCACGAGCCCACAGGAACCAGCTCACACACGCACGTGCGAGCACACACACAGCCACACGCAGACATGCACACGGCAATGCCCACAGTGGCCTCGCTGGCGGTGCTGCCCCACTCAGGTCCGCATCTAGTGAGCTGTGGGGGCTGGGGGTGACCTGTGCTGAGCGCCTAGCATGTGGGGTCCAACTCCCAAAGGAAAGTGTGGGGCAGGTCCCAGCCCCATGCTCGCTGCACCCCAAATCTAGGGCTTGCTAAACCCAAAAAGAAACAGCCACTCTGAGGGTGTGGTGTCCACATTCTGCCCCAAAAGCTGTTGGAAGCAGCCACTTGCAGCTCCCATCCGGCTCTTGCAAGAACCCTTTCAGCTGAACTCAACTCGGACTTTGGCATGACAGCTCGGCAGGTGGTGGTGAGCTCCAGGGAGGGAAGAAATGGGGCCGGGCCGGGCCCTCCCCCAGCCCTGCTCCTCACCCTGAGCACCCTGCGGGGCCCCAGAGGGAGCTGGTCTGCCTGTGCCCCCTGTGGCTGGAGGTCTGGCGAGGGCGGCTCACAGGACACCTCCCTGGAGCGGGTACTGGTCTGCCTGCAGGGCCGCGTCTGTGCCTGAAGCAGAGTGCTCTGTGGGGAGGTGCCAGGGAGACAACCTGCCCCCCCCATGCCTCCATTCTCCATCGTAGGGCCCCAACCACGCACGGGAGCCTGGGCGTTCCACCCCCTCCCCTCTCGCTCAGCCTGGCCCCCTCCCTTTCTCTGAGGCCCACTTTGACGGCCCCCCAGATGGGAGCCTGGCCACCATCTGATCCCTCACCCAGTAAACCATGGGCTCTCACCTCTTTCTACAATCGAGCCAAATGAGCTTGCCCTGCAGCCCGGCCACACCGGCACTGCCCAGGGTTCGCCGTGGGGACCCGCAGCCCTGTCCGTGTCAGCAGTCAGCATGTGCCAGCGTCACCCCTGCTGGCGGGCAGGTCCCACAGAGCTGGACGCCATGCCTCCACCCTGCCTCCCAGCCCCGTGCCCTCCTGGGATGCCCGGTGGGGCTTTCAGAGGCCCAAGGGAGGCCGTGCACACACGTGCTTCTCAGCCTGGTTATCTGAACATGTCAATGGGGAGAGTCTCATAAACACAGAGGGTTCTTGCCAACATTCCAAGCCACACCGGCGGCCCAGCTGACGGGGTGACAGGGTGACGGGTCTGAGCGGTCCTCGGCCCCCCCTAGGGTCTTGTTCCTCGCATGGGGTCAGTGCGCGTCGGCTCAGGAGCCCCGTGACCTCACCTCCCACCTCCCCCTGGCTGGTTCCACCAGCTGTTCCTCACACACCACCTGTGCCTTTGCACTGCCTGTCCCGCCCTGGAAAATGCTTTTCCCCTCAGCCACAGGCCTCCCTCCTCCCGTCATCTGTTCACAGTCACATTTAATGCCATTGTCCCGTGGCATGATCATATCTGTCCGTCTGACATATCTGACGGCTCGCAGGAACGCCACCCTCCAGAGGAGGCCTGGGTCTGCTGTCAGAAGCTGCCTCCTGTGGCTTGCAGCAGTGCCAGACAGGTGGTGGCACTGTTAGTTAAATCGTTAGTGTCGCACAAGCGAGCGCTCTCCTGGTACCACAACTGTGGCTGCTGAAAAATCGGGCCTTTAAGTCGCGTTGGTAAATGAAACCATTCAAGCCCAGAAGAGTGGTCGCTGTGCTGGGGGTATCGACCCGCCCGGGGCCCCGGCTCCAGGCCGCGTCCCAGGAGGGTGCGTGAGTCAGGACCTGTGCCGTGTCTGTGCACGGAGGCCTGCATGTTGGGCCCTGGCGGACTTGTTCCGGAACGCCGACGGGGGTGAACAAGGCAGAAGAAAGGCTTCAGCTTGCGGTGGACGGGGCTCTAGGCTAGCTCAGGCGAGCTGGTGCACCCCAGGCTCCCGGCCCACCCAGGCAGGACTGTACGGGGCACTGCTGCTCCCCACCCCACGCCCCAACGCCCACGGCCTCTGAGCTGACTCTGGCGTCGCTTGTCATCGGGTGTGCCGCTCAGCTCACAGGAGGGTGTGTGGCAACTTGGGGAAAGAATGCAGCCAAGGAGCTTGGGAACCTCTCCCCAGGCCCAGCATGTAGGGTTTGCAGGAAACTCACAGGCATTCACCATCACCTATTGCACCACGTGAGCACGGCCAGGGGCGGAGGGGCTCAGGCTCTGGGGACACAGCAGGGACACACATAGTCCCTGCCTCTGCAGCCTGACCTACTTGAGGAGATGTCCTCAGGAGCTGGGGTTCGGGGCTGCAGGGTTCTGAGCTCAGAAGAGGCGGGGCAGCAGGGATCCCAGGCAGGTGGGGCTCAGCATCCTGGCGGCCTGCCTGACTGGGGTGCGGTGTGCGGTGTGTGGTGTGTGTGTCTGTGTGTGTTGTGGTGTGTGTGTGTGTGTGTGTGTGTGTAGTCTAGGCTTCAGCTTGAGCCAGGGGAAGCCCTGCGGAGCAGGGCCTCAGCGGGGGTGGGTGGGAGGCCAGCAGGCCCCCCGAGCTCACCGTCCCCAAGTGCGATAGGCATTGCAGGCAGCTGGGCTCACGCAGCACTGCTCTCTCTCCAGCCCTGAGGTGGGAGGAGATAGAAGACAAAGGTAGGAAGAGATAGGGACTGCGGAAGTGCGTGAGGTCAGAGGGCAGGGCAGGTGTCAGCAAAGGTGCAGGCACGGGTGGGGGCAGAGACCATCCCCAGGGAAGCAGACATGGGACTGCTCTGACGCTCAGGCCAGGAGAGCACCTGGCCGCCTGGCAGCTTGACCCAGTGCAGGGGACAGGGACCCTGCTGTGTCCACCAAGGCTCAGGCAGGAGGCCACCCACTCTGGGCTGCAGTGCAGAGGGGGGGAAGTGGGCTCTGCTTAGACCCACTGTCCAACACCTGGCACCCTAAGGCCTGGGGCCTGAGATCCAGCACCCGAGACGCCAGCTGCCAGACTCCGAGCCCAGTGCAGCCCCACAGGGCACAGCTGGGGGTGGGGGGCTCCTTCTCTGACAGACGCTCCAAGCACCTGCTGGGGCCGGGGGGTACAGGAGCCCAGGAGGGCCGGTCCTGACCTTGGCCGGCCTCGTCCAGCACACTGAGCACTCCGCCCCTTCAGGTGCACAGCTCAAGTAAAACTCGTGGCTGAAAGGGACTCGGCCTCAGACACTGGGAGACCCCAACTGTAAACGCACCTGGGGAGCATGTGAAACAGGGAAAGCCCACCTCCGCCCACTGGGAGCTGGGTGTGGGGTGGGGCTCACATGTCTGTGAAGAAACAGTGTGAGGCAGAGCTGGGAGACGGCAGCACGCGCCTGCGTTCAGAGCCGTGCAGGCTGCCCGCGCAGGCTGACAGGGTCCAGACTCCACTCGGGGCTGGGATGCTGGGAGCAGGTGGTGCTTCGTCCTAAACTCTCCTATGGGGAGCTGGCCCAGGTGGAAGGCTCCTGGGGAGTTCCTTCTGCACCCCAGGCAGGACTGGGCGCTGTCACTTCTGACCTTCGCCCCCCGTCCTCGGGAGATTCCAACACAGAGTCTCAGCTCCCAATGCTCACGGGTTGTTTTACAGCCGGGGGCTGATTCTCCCTGGAGCAGACTTTACACCTCCAGCACGGAGCCCTCCCTTCCACACACGCTCCTGCGAGAGTGCTCGGTCCAGGCCTTGGACGGCAGGTCCTCACTGCAGGCCCACCGACGCCATCTGTCCTGTCAGGACTGGGACCCACTAGGGCCCGCTGGCTTGTCTACTCTTGAGAAGTTGGGAAGACACAGCCCCCTGGGAACTCTTGCTGGACACCCTGCCCTTCGAGGCCATCCTCCCACATCGCCTCCAGGGGACTAAGGGTAATTCGGTGGGTGTGGGGAGGAGAACACGGAGGAGGTGCCCAGGAGCCCACAGGAAAGCGTGGGACAGACGTCGGGTGCAGCAACAGGGGCTCCCAGCCTAAACCAGAGCACGTGAAACTAGCCCTAGGAGGTAACCACGCTCCGGGCTTCCCCCACGGCCTGGAGCACAGCTCAGGCCAGGCACCCAGGGCCCGATGGCTGCGCCTAAGGGAGACCCACCATTAGAAAGGGGGTTTGGGCAGAAGCCACACAGCCAGTGGCCCAGGCCCCGAATGCCCTGGGTAAGATAATACAGGCGGTGGGTGGAGTGCCCGGGGGTTCCAGCGCCCAGGGTCCGTGCTCCCCCTCATCCCACAAGGGCTGGGGTCAGGCCAAGCGCAAAGTCCCTGTGAGAGGGCTTTGGGAGTGACAGGAGTTGGGGTGCTGGAACATGGGGCCTGACGATGGATCAGAGTCTGGGTTGATAGGCACCTTCGAACACATTGGACAGAGGAGGGTGTGACCCCAGGGCTGTGCATCCTGCAGCACAGCTGGGAAAGGAGCTTCCATGTCCGCATGTCTGCAGCTTCCTGGGGTGCAGGGCAGGTAAGAGGCTCTCGGATATCGCACAGCTGACCCTGAAGCCCCCGCTGGTCCTCGCAGCAGCCAGGGCCATCTGGACCAGGCTCCTGCTGGTTAAGAGGGAGGTGGCGCACCAGGGGGGAGCACCCCCAAAGACCCCAGGGACGTTGGGCGTGGGGTGGGGGCATGAAGGTCTCAGAGGACACACGGCTGCTAGGGTGGAGAGACCACCTGACAGCTACCCTGAGCCTCCGTGCTTCCAGCCCAGGTGGCCTGTCTGCCCCTGGCTTCCTCCAGCATTTCTGCTGGGGCTTGGGGGCCCTCTCCCCGTAGGACCATCCCCCTTCCGGAGAGAGGGCAGACTTGGTGCATAGACTATTGGCCCTTCCAGCTCAGAAAGTGAAACCACGACTTCCCGGGGCTTGGACCAAAGTTAGGGTGCTCTCACCCCACCCCTCAGTGCAGGGAGCTCTATTTCCAGAGTGTGTCCCCAAACAAGATGTCTCGCCAGGTCACCCACGTGGAAGCCGTGCCCTGCCCTGCCGACTCCAGCCCATCCAGCGCAGGGTCTGCAGATGGCCTAGGGCTCCCTGCTGGCAGGGTCTTAACCCCTCACTGAACCGACAGGGTGCCCGCCTCTCAACCCAGGACCCACAGGGACATCAGCTGGACATCTGAGCTGTGTCTGGCCTCTGAAGTGTCCCCGGCCTAGTGTTTGGTGACAAATGGACCCAGCTGGCCCAGAACTGCCCCCACCCCAGCTTCCCAGCTGGTGCCCCTCCTGTTCATTCTCTGCCAGGCGGCCAGGGAGACAGTCTGAGTCCCACCACTCCTCGCCGCCCAGGTGGACATCACAGTCCTCCTGGGTCTGTGCTCAGGCTGCGTGGCCTCCCCTCCAACACTCCAGCCTCCCTCTTCCTCCAGGAGCACCTTCCCTGGTCACCCTGCCACCTCCTGTGCTCTGTCTTCAGAAGCTGCTGGGACCCCCACCCCCAGGTGGGGCCCACCCAGTGATGCCTTCCGCCTCACCATCTCTGCATCAGGCCAGCCGCCAGCCCCACGGGAGGCCTAAAGAGAGAACAGTACTGGGGGTAGAAAGCCTGGCTTTGTGCAAGACCCAAAGTGACCATGGTGTAGGAACCCCCCAAGACGCACATGTCCCAGGTCCCCCCCCTCCAGGGGCAGACACTGTCCCACTACATAAGATCCTTAACCTCAGTCTCCAGGCGGCCCTGAGCTGTGGACAGCTCCCTTCTCCCCTGAATTTCCTAAAGATATAGTAACAGGGGACCCCCGGAGGCCCCTGCGCACACAGGTGGGGAGCTTGCAGCAAGCCCTTGGCAGATGCAGGCTGTCAGGCGTCTGTGGGCACAGCAACCACACCTGCTTCTCACCTTCACCTTCTAAAGGTATGATGTGGCAGCAGCTTCCAGTGGCGGGACTCAGGTCCCTGGGCCACCTCGATAGAGCTGTGACCCTGCCCTCTGCCTGTCTCTGTCCCAGCTGCCTGAGGTGAGCAGCCACCTTGAAATGTGTTTCAG